CTTCTTACCGCTGCCCACCCCTTCATGACTGAATTGAATCTTCTCATAGGAACTGAACTCCACATTTTCAAGCGCGACGCTCTGTGATGTCACCGAAGACTCTGGGATAGGTGCAAATAGCTCAGCCAACTGCCTGCCACTTCCAAAGCCTGCTGTCTCATAGATCTGCCACAGACAATGGAAAAGATAATGCCATGAACATTTCAGGCAATAACCAATTCCTGAACATTTGTAAAATACATTACAAATACCACAGCGGTCTTTTTTATTTTCTTATGCTGAGAAGGAAAATGAATGGTGAAACAAGTAAAATCAATAAACTGTAAGGCCCGCATCCAGCCCAACAAACAATTAAATCCAGCCTGTGAGACAATTTTAGGGAATCCATCCAGAGATTCAATTTAACACAGAACTTTACTCCAGTCACAAACAAACTTGTTGCCAAGAAAAGATGCAAAACATCCATCCAGCTCTGACATACTGGCATAAGAGCAAAAATTGGTTTGCCTTGATTTGTTATCCTTTTAAGTTTTGTATGTTTTAATTCATATCATTACTACTGCTTAAAAAGAGGTTTCGTTTTTCCACCGCTAAGTGAGTGTTGATCCAGTTCGGCCTACAAACTTAGTAGTATATGAGTTTGGCCCCTATGCAATTGAGTTTGACACCCCTGCCGTAAGATACAACAGTCAGAAACTCAACATATCTTAAAATTACAATACAGTTCTGGTGTTGAAAAATATCAAACACATTTACTTGCCACAAATGCAGCTTAGGTAGCTTTTAGAAAAACTCTAACATAAAAACATGACAATGCTGTGATGCACAAAGAAATGGAGATATTAACAATTATTCTGCAAGGGCTAAAACAAATAGCTTTGTAATCATATTCGTTAAAACTGTCAGATTTCACAACTGCATAGAAGACTATATGATTAGATTATACTTCTTTACATACCTTATGAGTCAATGCTAATCTTTAACAGACATTACCTCAAATACATGGTTCATTGTTAACAGATGTCCTTTAGCAAATTGTGTCTATTATTATAAGTATATTTAAATACCAGACAAAGAATAAAAGAACTATATATTCAATGTTATGCAAACAAGATATAACAGAAACCAATGCAATTTCAGTAACAAATTCCTAATGATGCGTACTGAGCAAATAAAACACAAACAGCATACTCACTTCAAACTTGATACTCTCTGGCCATTCAACAATTTTCAGATTGTAAATCTGACCAAAGTTGACTCTGAAGTCTTGAGACAAAGGACTGAAACGAGAAGGAATAGAAAGCATTGTCAATATCAGACTGTCTGGGCTAAAACGGTAAACTGATTGACTTTCTCAAACAATGTTTGCACGGGATGCATGGTAGACCTTAATGATTGAGTACTTTAAAAAAGTGGCCAACAAAGAGCCAGAGTTATTCAGAATAAAGTTCTCCACTTTAAATTAATTTAGCAAATAAAAAACAGCAAAACATTTTTAAAAATCTATGTCTAAGTTTCTAAAGTGACAGCATACAGTCCTCTATAATAAAACAGACCACAAAATTTGCATGAATACTAGCTTGGTACAGCAAAGCAATGCTAACATGACTAACAATAGGCATTTGTGAAACAATGTTCCAACAATACGCAAGAGCACAAATATTGCTCAAGTTCAGAAGAAAGTTTACAATAAATCTGAAAAATAAAGGGAGCATTTTGCCACAGACGGATTAGAGTCATAGGAATGTTGATAAGCAAAAAGGAACAAATGAAAAAATCCCAGCATAGAAATTTGGGTTAAAATGCATAAAATAATAATTTAAGGGATGCATGCTACACAATAAAACACTTAAACTGACAATATTTCAAAACAACCCATTGCTTGCCTGTATCCATTTACTGAACTGAGGAAAATAAGGTACTTTTTCTAAGGATGCAACACCCTATATGACACAGCTGGGAATTGAACACACAACTTTTTAATGACAAGCTCAATGCCTTACCATTTGACAATGATAATTTCCCCCTTACAACCGCCCTCCATCCCCCCCCCAAAAATGAAACAAAAACAACAAAATCCAACCTCATTAACGTTATGAAAAAATAAAAAACAACTATCAAAGTGACAAAAGAACCAAACATTAAAACCTATAAGAACTTTAATTTAAAACTGTAAACAATTAAAACAAAGTACCTTGATCCAGTGCGAGACACTTCCTTCCCATTGAAGAGAATCTTGACATAGACTTTGCTCTTTGAGACATCGTCTCTTCTCTGCTGCTCTCCTCTACATAAAGCAAAACAAAGTCAACTGTACCACACCATCACCAAAGACAAAAAGGAAACCACATAACAGCATAAACAAAGAAAAACATAACAAGCATTTCATTCAGAAGAAACACTATTAAAATTTGGACAAGTTACTCTCAGAAAATTTGTAGTTAGATAGATGCTCATGTGTTTCATTTGCTACAGAGTACCACCGCAATCTTTTAATCTTTTCAATTCTTTTTTTCCACAATCAAACCCCGCAGTAAAATCCCCCATCTTTAAAATGACTGCTCCCTTTTTTTTGTTCTGTGTTCATTCTTAAACAAAACAAATTATGCCATCTGAACCTCATAAAGTAATGAAATAGAGAAAAACAAGCTTATGGACTTGCAGACATTTTAGCAGTCAAAAATCACACTTCAAGAGCTGTTTCCACTTTTTTATTAAAAGAATGTTTCTTTTGTATTCTAGATGCTACTGTCCTAAACACCTTTTCTCCATCTGCCTTGGAGGAGTCATGAGGTGAGCACCTAAACTTCTTTTGTCCGACAAGCCGTTCCCAGCGTGGTCAGAACTGCTATACCTGTCATCCGTGGGCAGTGGCTCGGGCACATCCCTTTATGACAACTTTGATATCAAATTACTTTTTGGCAACTGCTGAAAACAGGTCTCTTACTGGGAGTTCATTCATTAGAAGAACTATTGAAATAGGTTCACTTGTTTTGATTTAATGAATAATTTAGTGATGTATATGTAAATTTTATATTTCGTACCATAAGAGGGCCCTGGCACAGTGGGTTTACCCCCCTTGGAGATAAAGAGTTAATCCTGCTCACAAATAGAGATAGACAAAGCTCTTGACGATAACTCTTTGAAGGACACACCTGCACCTGAAGGGTGTTAAACTCAAACCAAAACCAAATCAAAGGAAACTCAGTTTTCAGTTGAACGTACCTTGAGCACTGACTGGATGGTGTAACTGTTGCCGTGTTGGACATCTCTGGAAACAGTTTAGCCTCACCTGGTCAACAAACATGAGGCATTTGTAAATGACTGTTTCGTCCTCACTGTAAGGGCCCTTGCCTATTTCCTTCTGTTCATATAGCCACATATGAGAAGTTAGTAAAGTTGAACCCTCTCTAAGGGCTACCAGTCAAAGACAATCACCTGTACAAATAACCAATTCCTGCTTCCCCCCTCACATTTTTCTTTACATTATAATGACACTGTTCAAAATATCTCCCTGTTGAAGACAACCACTTTTCTCCTTGACAATGGGTAACTGTCTTGGACAATTTTGACTTTTCTCGGGAATTGGAAGACACAGAATATGTAAATGACAACAGTACAGTGTTCCTCGCCATAGAACTGGCCACTGGGACCACCAGGAGGCCTAAAATATTTTGCTCATATTGGGTTTTCAAGGAGGAAGTTAAGGGTCACCACAAAGCTTCTACTGGTTGCCACCCTTGTTGGTTCATAGCAATGATCATACATAACAAGACAGTCCACTCAGCCAACAAAGTGTCTGCCGGAAGTCCGCGCAACGGCTCAGATGGCGCTGAAGTCTTTGTTTTGAAGCTCTCTTTTGTTTCTCAAGAAGAAGAATAGGAATAGCAGCTCCTTGCGTGCGCAGATCGACTGCTGTTCATCAGCAGTTCGGGTTCGTTCAGTGAGGAGTATTAGGGTTTTAAAAAATTTTAATGACCTCTCGCATCTCATTCTAAAGTCAAATTAAATGAAGAAAGCAGTCGCCTATTCCTCCGGAAGGGGTTTTTTGTCAACGTAACGATGTAAAAAAGCGTTCTTCCGAAATTTGAATTCTGATTTATAAAAAAAACTTGTTAGTTTCACTTTGATTTTTTCCACACAGGTAGGGTAACTCTGTTCGCAAAGGGTGCGCATTTGTGAGGAAGGCGCCATCGAATTTTGAGGACATTTTTTTAATTGGCTAAAAGAGAGGAGTAGACCATCTTGTTATGTATGATCATTGTTCATAGTTGAAATATGACCTGCAGGTGATTCTTATGTGCTTTGGTGGGTTTCTTTTAACATAATGGGTAGAGCAGATGAAAACAACTTTATGACAGACCAAACCACTTCTGCAGAGCTCATAGGTGGGCCTGTTCCGCTGTGCATGCTCACGGAGATTTTGCCATACTCCCACTCCCCTTTTTTCACCCTATTTCCTTTATTTATCACTAGTTAACATCATGCACAACAGTTACAGCATCATATTGCTTCTTCTGGTGATATGCTTGAAATGTGTGAAATGAGCAGGCTGAACAAGGGAGGTAATAGTGAACTATAAAAAAAGCGATGCAAAAAAAAATCTTATAAACTCTACAAATCTCTTCCAGTCTTCATGATATTCACGGCTTGGGCAACTTGAGTTCATACAATTCTTGAAAATAGTTTTTATTCAATCCATCAGCCGTAAGAAGTCAATGAGGGGCGGAATATTGTGGCAGCAATTAATGGGTTTTTTTCCACCAGTAGTTTAGGGAAGAAAGCAGGCAAATGACTGCCATGGAACCAAACATCAACTACCTGACAGATATCTCTATTTGTCTGGTCATGTGTTTAGTCTGAATTTTTCAGGATCCTTTTTATAAGCATAAATGGTAAGAAATTTGGAACCATTCATACTGCCGTCTTATGACAAAAAAAACGTATACATGCGTAATTAGGAAAAGTAGTATTTTTTATAGGGGAGAAACCTCTTTTCATTGCGCATCTTTCTATCTTGGTTTTATGGCTGTACAATTAAAATTAAGGAAGCTTTGAACGCGTTATGACCTTATTAGATATCAATATTGTTACAATACAAGGAATTTCAATCAGTTACTCCGTAACTATTTACGTTACACACAAAAAGTTAGGTTTTTGCCTCTCTTGTAAAATTTTATTTTTGTAATATTCGTTTTTTTGTCATAAAACGGCAGCATAGGTGTGTTTAGTCCATTACACAGAAAATATTTCCGTGATCTGGATACACTATACAAAGCAAAATTGGTAAAAGTAAAGTATAACCTCACATGTCTTCATGCATCACGACAATCACAGCCCCCTATTTCCTTTTCCTATTAGACATAGTTGCAACCTAATTGCGACCTCCTCAGGGACCCCAGATGATGCACAAAATGGTCAAACAGTTCAAAATGGGAGGGCTATACTGTCCTTTGCCCGCAAAATTCATACATAGGGCACCAAGAACACCCTACCTGGGCGTCGCTTGGCAGCCATAGCTTTCGCCTTGATCTGTTCTCTTACTGCTCTCTCATCGAATGCCTCTGGAGGCTCGGGCTTTGGCAGAGGTTCTTCGTCAATGATGTCTTGGTCTTTGGCGTTTTCTTCCTGATAGACATAGATCAGAGGACTTGTTGTGTACCTTACAGATGAGCAATTACACAAGCTATTGTAGATGCCATACATTTCTTAGTAAATGTGCAGCCTTTACCCAATTTTAACAATAGAGTAACTCCTGCAACAATAGCTTTCAAAATGTGTACATTAATTGACATCAGATACTGATGAAATTTTGCGTCTTTTCAAATAATTTATACATTAGAAAAAGCTTTTCTACAAGGCAAAGGATTATTTTTTTTCTTTCCTCCTGCAAGACTCACACAGTCACCAATAAGTATTTTGTGCACATTGCTCTGACCAACCTCGATGGCTTCATCTTCATTATCCTCCTCTCGTGGCTGGTCACTCCTCAAAGACTCTTGGGAGTTTCTGGACATCCGGGATTGTTTTGATGTCTTTGACCCTCGACGCTGCTGACTTCTCTCTGCTATTCTTTTCTGGGCCTCTTCCTGGATAAAATCACAAAAAAGAAAATAAAAATGACCGACAAAGTATTTACAGATATATCTCGTTGCAAAATGTCATAACCTTATATTGTCATGATGAAAGTTCAAAACAATAAACACAGATGCCCAGGCACACCCTGCATAAGTTACTTCCAAATTATACTGTGATATTTCAGGAAAGAAATTGGTTTTTTTCCCTCATCTAGGGGACCGTGATCTTTGTTTTAACAGCTCCCTGTTAGATTATTATTAAGAAGTGGGATCTCATACTTAAACATTCACCTCGAAAGGCTTGTGCCAAGAGGGTGGAGTCTTTTAGACAGTAGTCTTGCATGAAACAAACTGATGCTACAAGTGTTTATTCATGAGTATATATATATAAGAATTTGTAAGTGAGTGCATCAATGCACATTCCTGAGTCTGCCTGTACTAGTGCACACATGCTTTTGTCTGAGGGCACATGTTGACCAGTTCATGTGCTTATGTATATGTTGCCGCTGTTACGAGCAATCCACCTTAGTCTAAATTTTCGAGAAATTTCAGTTTTTAACCCTCCCAAAGCTCTCTCAAAGATGCACCTTTAAGCACCATCAAAATGCAGTTTAGTGCTACGGTCAAGGCTTACAATTTTCTTGCTTTTCATGCTTCCTGATAGAACAACACAATAAAAGCTTGTTTTTTGTTTCGGGTGTAAAAAGTACCCAAACGGACCTGAGTAGATTGCTTGCTACACTGGCAGTATGTACAGATTTTTGGCGCTTGAACATGCACATGTGGGCTTTACTTTTCTCTTTACATTGAATTTCAATAAGAGTAATATATAATTTAATTTCTATGTATACCTGAATGTGTTTTTACAGTCCAGTGCAGCCAAGAAAAGATTTCCTGTGAGACAATTAAGTATTACCTTATCTTATCTTAAATGTTTGTGCATGATCTTGTTTATGCTTGTGTGTACATATACGTGTGTTCATCCCACCTTCCCCTGCTGCTGCTTCTCATATTTCTCCATTTGGTCTTTGTACATGGCCTCTTTCCTCATGAATTCCTCCTCATGTTTCTCTCTCTCCTCCATCAGTTCTTCCTCCATTTCAAGCTTCCATCTAGCTAAGTCTTCTGATTTGTTTGTTTCCTCCCTGCAAAATAAATACATAAATAAATAAAATAAAGACCATAACAAAGCAATAAAGTATGAAGATGCAAACCATCAATGTTTGAAGTGTAATGGTTCAATTAAACATTTGCTTTGTAAGCCAAGAGCACCAGTTCAGTTCCAATATGGAGAAGAGGTCTTATCAGAGGTCTCTTCATGTGACCTAGATAGTGTCAATGGGGGGTGAGAAATATTTACTACTTATGACAAATTATGGGTATTGATATTTGCTAGTGAAAGGTGCCAGTACTTTTTATTTGCAGAAACATTTGAACAGGCTTAATAGCTTTCATGTGAATAAAGAAGGAGATATCAGCATTATTATTCAAGGATTAGAAATCAGAGAAGTTGTTGTTTTTTTTCAGAAAAAATAGTAAAATATTAAATATTCAAGGTTACCAAATTCATAGGCACAGAAACTACAGTCATGGTGCGAAAGCAAAGCAATGATTTATCATAAAAATACAATACACACCTGAAAAAATGCCGACTTTTCTTAGGTAATATTGCACTTACACTTACATATTACGGATCTGAACTAATTTCACATCTCTAGTCCCTGGTTACCCAAGAAAGTTTTTGTGCTGGAGCGCCACTCGAGCACTTTCACAGGCACTGGTGACATTTCATACCCACAACGCCCTGATCATCTGCACCTCTGAGGTCTCACTTGGATTGGGTAACATTTACCTCCAAGTCGCACCCCCTCCTTCCCTTCCTTGCCTGGCAGCATGGCGTAAAGGTTAGAGCCGTTGGAATCAAAATTGATACTTTTGTTTCAAATCAGGGCTGAGTGGGCAAAGCATTTTCCATCTTAGGTAAAAACCCTCCAAAGGGAAGAATTTCTCTCTCTGTTTCCGCATTAAACAGGTTTCCGTGTTATAGAGGTAATAAAGAGGAATTTATCAGGGGGGGGGGGGGGAGATTCCGTCGAGACAGGCTTTCGTCTCTATTATAGATAAACTTTAATTTGCTTCTTAATTACCAAGATTGTATTGAAAGCCCCGTAACACTCAAACTCAGACAACAACAAAGACTCACTTCCTGATCTGTAGCTTGACAGGTGTGTTGGTGTATTTCTGTAGCTCCCGTAAGGCCTTGACTTCTTTCCATGTGTGAATCATGCTCTTCAACAAAGTGCGGTCTATCTGTTCTTCCTTATCTCTCAAGAAACGCGTTTGTCTGAGAAAAATAAGGAAAATTAATCAAGTTAGAGAGCATCCTTAAATACAAGCAGCTAATTCTGATAAGCCTTATCGATTCAAGTAAAAAGTATTCATGAGAACATAATATTCCAATCTAGGGCCGTCTCTTCAACCGGATCTCATCTGCCACTGGCCTCTCTCTTGTTTTAGTGGATGGTTGGCGGGTGCTCTGATGTGGTTTGTTTCTTCTTTCCTATCAAACATCTATCGTCCTTATCTCCCCTTCTTCTTTTTTATGTTTGTTACTCTCTTGTAGCACCTCTAATCTTCTGGCGCTCATATGACCTTATGCAGTTGCGAGCGCCGTAAAACCTCTACTAAAACTAACTCTCCTGTCTTATTTAAAATTACTTCTTTTCATGTCTGATTTTGTCTTGCCATTTAATCTTGAGAATTTTTAAGAGACATCTAGCAAAAAATATTTTAGTTTAGTTTTCTTGCGTGCACCAGCTGTCGACTATCATACAAATGGAACATTTATAGCTGTTTAACTGCTGAAATTAACCGACAGACCTCATGTTCGTGTGTATAAATGCATCATCCGAGTTGATTCACATCTGTTCAATTCTTTACGTAACAACTTACATATTCTACTGAGCCAAATACGACAAATAGGGCAAGGACCATCATGTTTCATTCCCTTATGACAGCTGCCAACCAATGATGATGTTTTTAATATTCACTGCTTTTTGTCAAGAGCCCAATGTTCTTTTGAGCACTATTTGTAAGTGATTCTACCATAACATTAATACTTCCTGTGCTGTTTATTGTTCTGTCCCACATGTTTCTTACTGTCTTTATTTTTTTTTAAAAACAACAGAAAAAAGGGAGTAGGCTCATGCAGTGGTGAAGTCTGTCCTTCTGTAGTTATCTCAAGGATTCTACCAACCTGATTTCACACTTGTAATCCCGTAGCCTTCTTTCATAATTGTCACGGTCTGCCACCGACATCTCACCCTAAGGAAAACAAAACAACGTTCACTTTAGACCTGAGAAGCCACCAACTAGTTCTTTTATCTCCCAGCCAGGGTTGGTGATTTTTTTGATTTTTAAAATAAAAATTTTAAAAATCGATTTTTTAAATTTAAATCAGATTTTTTAAATTTAAATCGGATTTTTTTTATTTAAAAAAAAATGCCGACTCAGTTTGGGATTTTTGGTGGCTAAAAGTAAGTTCTTTTAGTGCAAAATGCATTGTCTTTAATTTAACTAATGATTAATTTAAGCAACTGCAATTTTAGAAAGCCTTAATCTGCTATATCAGTGAATTATGGCTACAGAAAAAAAATGAAGAAAATGTCAGTCTAAAAGGAAGGAGGGGGGAGGGGGTAATTATGCATAGATAAACTTGCATTTTATCACAGTGTGTGTGTGCACGCGCGCTTGTGTTTGTATAAAAAGAAAAAGAAAAAGCTAATTTCAATTATGAAAAAAGAGTAAATTGAATACAGTAATTATTTTACTACTTACAGTGACAGGGGTGAAAGCAGACTTTTAAGCATGATTTTTTAGTCTACTAAACCTTATATCTGTTTTATAAAACCAAGGAAAGGAATTCTGACTGTTTAAAGATGTAAAAACAGAATACATTTTTTAAAGTGATTTAAATCACTGAGTTTTATTTTTTAAATAAAGTTGATTAAAATTTTTTTTTAATCAACTAAATCAACCCAACCCTGGTTTTCAATTATGAAAAAAAAGTAAATTGAGAACTTAAATGAGAACTGTATTATTTTACAGTGACAGGGGGGAAAGCAGACTTTTAAGCATGATTATATTAGTCTACTAAACCTTATATCTGTTTAATAAAACCAAGGAAAGGAATTCTGAATGTTTAAATATATGTAAAAGCTGAATACATTTTTTGAAAAGTGATTTAAATCACAGATTTAAAAAAAAAAATCAAGTTGATAAAATTTAAAAAATCAACTGATTTAAATCAAACCAGCTCTGATTTCCATGAAAAAAAAAGTAAATTGAATACTGTATTATTTTACAGTGAAAGGGGGGAAAGCAGACTTTTAAGCATGATTATATTAGTCTACTAAACCTTATATCTGTTTAATAAAACCAAGGAAAGGAATTCTGAATGTTTAAATATATGTAAAAGCTGAATACATTTTTTGAAAAGTGATTTAAATCACAGATTTAAAAAAAAAAATCAAGTTGATAAAATTTAAAAAATCAACTGATTTAAATCAAACCAGCTCTGATTTCCATGAAAAAAAAAGTAAATTGAATACTGTATTATTTTACAGTGAAAGGGGGGAAAGCAGACTTTTAAGCATGATTATATTAGTCTACTAAACCTTATATCTGTTTTATGAAACCAAGGAAAGGAATTTTGAATGTTGAAATGTGTAAAAACTGAATAAAAATACATTTTTTTAAAAGTGATTTAAATTACTGATTTTTATTTTAAAAATCAAGTTGATTTAAATAAAAAAAATCAATTGATTTAAATCAACCTGATTTAAATCAACCCAACCCTGCTCCCAGCAGCACTCCTTTAGAGACCAAGGGCACAAATTAACACCCAAGCATAATTACACTTCAAAATAAACCAGTCAAACTCTTTGTACTATCTAATTTACCTTTTCTAAACCTTTACTTCCAAACTAAAAGTGAATACATTCTTTTTTTTATCTGTGAGGTAGACATTTACTAGAAATAGAATTGTTCCAATCTTAGCGATGGACATGTTTTTCTGGAAAACACTGTCAGCAGCTATATCCCTTGTTGGTCAGCCAACCAGAGCTAAGGTACTGACCCTTTTGACATGAACAGGCAACACTAAATGCTTCAAGTCATGTACTTGTATTATATTCAGAACAGTTCAAAATTTAACCCTTTTTACCTCACTGCAAAAGAGCTATGGTTCGCCAAATGTTTTCTCTTGCCACATAGAGCACAGTTAATTGTGAAGTAAGTCATCTGCCCCCTGTTTATCCCTGCTCCTCAATAAATTGACTGCTTAATTTACAACTCGACCATCAGACATTTTGAAAAGAAATAAGACGGAGTCTTACACTGAACAGTCAAAATGATCTTTAACTTAAAGACAGAAACTAAACAACGTGTAATACCATTTTCCTACAACTAGCCTTTGTGCAGAGTATAAACTTAAAATAACCGTCTTATGTTCATGCTCCTGGTTTCACAAAAAATCTTCTTGTTAAAAAAAACACATCAGCAAAGAAATGAGAACATAATTGATGCTCTAGAAAAAGCTATCTTTGGATCATAACATTACCTTGTGTGCGGCTATGTAGTCATGGAGGAGGGCTGCAGAGTTCTTCAAAGCTGCCAGCTGAAAGAGAAATGTAATAATTAAATAATAATAGATTCATTTGTATAGCACAAATTCCCGCTCAACAGCAAGCTCTATGCACTTTACAATCAATACTATTATCCAAGGAGACCTGATAGCATTCTGAAACAATCTTAACTTCCTGGGAAGTATACATTGTAAGCTGTAGTTTATCGGCACTAAAATACTAATATACTGACAAGATCTTTTGCTGTCTATGGCTGGGTACCTATTCCCACCTGGGAGAAGTGAGGAAAATTCGAGTCTAGTGCCTTTCCTAAGGACACAACGTCGGGACTGCGGCTCAAACCCCCAAACTCACGATTACGAGTCACCTTTCAAAGCAATATACAGAAGCTCAAAAAGCAAAGGTCCCCTTTAGTTTTAGTTTTCTTAACAGTTCTAGAGCCTTTGCAACACAATATGGTCAAATAAGTACCAAAGATTGGAAGTGTTATTAAAGAGAAACATGCAAAGAAAAGAAGGAGAAATAAAGATGATAGATGTGGAACACACCACATCAGAGTGCCTGCCAACCACCCATGCTATGGCATCAGTGAGAAGGTCAGGTGCTTTGCAGGTTCAAGAAACGACAGTAAACTATTTCAAAGTTTTAACAGAAGAATGCAAAAATCAATCAAAGTAAATCTCTTTTCCACCCATTTACCTTTGTTTACATTCCTCCCGCCTCCTTCACCTTCTCTTTCTTTCTCTTTCTAAATATCTCTCCTTTTCTGTCTCTCTGTCGCTTTTTTCCTACTTTAAATGACAGCTATTATGTCAATGTGCTTCTATCTACTCAAATCAAACTTGAACCCTTTCTTTTATTTTCTGTGTCTTTTTCTTTCTGTTTCTCACTCTTTCTTCTGTCTCCTTCATTTCACATCCCATAAAAACCTAACATAATAAATAGCGCATATCCCAACTCAACAGTATGCTCTTTGCACTTTATAATTATTATTACCCTAGCAGACCCTAAAACACTCAGAAACATTCATGGCATCCCGGGAAGCATACAGTGCAAACAGCTGATAAAGCACTAAAACACTAACAAACTGACAAGATCTTTCGCAGTCTACAAAAAACAACAACAAGCAAACGACAAACGAATCTGGCCGACTCGCCTTCTCCAGAAGGAACTCAGTCATATTCCGTTTGCTGCGGCTGAGGTATTCCTGGTACAGCAGAGTCAGCTTGTGGGACAGCACGTGCTCTTTGCTGAACAGGTGGTGGTGGCTGAAGGACACCGAGTTGATGTCTACGTCCAGCTGGTAGAAGCCGCCCCCATCTATAGCACCGTCAATGTAGCGGCTGTCAAACTCCCTCATGATAGCCTGGCACAGGCACAGGGAGAGAGGTAGAAGGGGGGGGGGGGAAGGAGAGAGATAGGGTAGAGAGTGAAGGAAGGGGGATGTGGAGGTGAAAGGAGGGAAGGGGGGGGGGGGGGACAACAAGACCATAGTCAATAAAATTTGTAACAACCTCAAGATGGGGACAACGATGACATACATCCTTAATATATTAGAAATCCCCAAAGAAGCCAAATCGAAACAATGTGGTGCCTTCAACAGGTAAAAGTGTTACTTGCACATCTATTAGCAAAGTATTTTAATTGTACAATACCATCTCTTACCTTCCACCATCATGATGATGATGATAATCACAGCAACACAGGATATAAGGTAATTCCCCCCCCCCCCCCCATATGAACAGAGAGGAAATTATGCAGCTTTTGTTTGACTCAGGAAAGGCAGCATAACCAATCTGGAGACACGTCTGACATTGTGTCTTTTGAAAAGACCTTTCAAAGAATATTTCTCAACATTAGACTGTCAGGCTTGCCAACTTTTTCAAAACCAAACCAAGGACACTCAATGTCATAACATCAGATTAAGTAACAATGGACAAAATTGCATAATACAGGAGTTTGGAGTATTTGAGCAGTTCGACAACAAAGCCCGACAAACATCACTTTCTAAGTTTGGCCAAAACAAGTACCGCTGTTTCTAGAAAGGGGAAGCACATTTCAGAGTACACTTCTATTTTTACAAACATATCTTTTCCTCTCAAGCAAATTGAAGGTAGTTGTGCATTTTTTTTTTTAACAAAATGCGACAAAAACGGTACACCACTTTTTTATAAACCGCGACATATCCTTTGTGCGCAATCAAGTTCTTTCCTGGAGTCATGTGACTTCACTTGTGGTTGATGAAAGTTTGTCAGTGGTTCTTTCCCTTCCTCGCAAATATAATGTGGATATGTTGCGTTTTGGTTTTTAAAAAAAAAATTTACGCGGAAATTTCATCAATTGTCATCTGCCCATCTTCACCAAACCACTTGGAAGGCTGTGGGACATCACAGAACAGTTCATTTAAAAATCATTTTTACAAAAACTTTTTAGAGAGAGCACACACACACAGTGCAGCGTGAAGACTTCTATCCTAGTCATACCTCACAGTGCACCAGCAGTGGAATTGTAGTTGCAACGCAGGCAGTTCGACATTTGAGCGCTTATCACGTCGGGGTCACCGGGTTCAGCTCATTGTCGCCACTCTTGCTGGGCTGACTTAATTTTAGGTACTTTTTCAACTTAACATTTTGGGTGTATCCTTGTATCAATGGTAATTATCTTTTAATGCACCCAAAGCATGAATTTCTCCTCATGAGACTTTAAAAAGAATGAACATTGTAACTTGTCTGGTTATTTTGTTAGACGCCTTGAAGTTGGCAATGCTAAATTGCGATTTTTTTTTGGACAAGTGTGAAAAAAAGAAATCAAAAGAAAATAATTATTTTAAAAATATCTGAGTGGGGGAGAGTCTTTGACACACTGGCATCTCTTTTACGAGGTGAACTATAGCATCTGTTCCACATTTTTATGCATCTGCAATAGACATGGACTAACCTTGTAGAAAACCGTCTCCAGATAAGGCACTTCATCATCAGGCAATGGTGGTCGGGTGGGTGTCTCTCTCAACGGGTTGGGTAAGATGGTCATCTGTCCATCTTCACCAAACCACTTGGAAGGCTGTGTGCACATCACAGAACAGTTCACTTTAACATCTTGTTTTATAAAAAAATTTAAGGAGCACACACATACACACACACACTCACAAAGACACTCATACACACACACACACACACACATGCACACACACACACACACACATGCACACACACACACACACACACACAAACATGTGCACCTGCACAGAAACATCCCTGGTAGACTAATGCAATCATTAAGAAAACAAAAACTTGTATTACTACAGATAATTACCCAGGATTACATTTTAAATGAATGCTAACCTCATCAGGAAGTAAAAGTAAAGTAACCTTTTATTCATAAGAGTAGTCACCATCAATGGTGTGTACTTTAAAAAACACTGTGAAAGTAGCGTGTGTATGTGGGAGGGAGGGAGCAAGGGAGAGGGGAGGGTGAGAGAGAAAGAGAGAGAGAAAGAGAGAGAGAGAGAGAGAGAGAGAGAGAGAGAGAGAGAGAGAGAGAGAGAGAGGGAGGGAGAGAAAGGAGTATGGCGAGGTGGACAAATAAAGACAAAGAGAGAGAGAAAGGTGGAGAAGCAGGGAGAAAAGAAAAGAAAACAAGAGAGGGTAAGGGGGGGGGGGGGGGTAAAGCAAGAAATAAAGCAAGAAAAAGAAAGCAAAATAGGGGGAATTTCTAGGACACCAAAGCGAAATATAACATTGCCTACCCCCCCCCCCCCCCCTCTCCTTATTTTCTACAAGAAACAGAGTCACTGACCTGTTTCAAGTGCTCTGCTTCCTTGAGGAGTCTGCTCTCCATCCTGTTCTTGTTCCTGTCAGCCACGTATGGTTTCTCGCCCACATAAAATCCTTCGTCTTCCAGGAATCTCGGCTCGAGCTCCTCCCCCACAACCGCAGACGCTGGTTCTAAAAAAACAAAACAAAAAGGGAAAGTGGGAAAGTTAACATCAAATAAATATGAATAACCATTGCTCAAGTGCGTTGGGCGGGAGCTTAGAGCCCAATAACATAATAAGAAAAATATCATACTAATAAAAACAATAATGACCGTGCTTATGAAGAAAAGTCTAGTTTTAGTTTTAATAAGGTTTTACGACATTTGAAACACTATTAGGTTCGAAAAATGCAGAAGATTAGACATTTACTAGAAAGTAACATATTGAATGAAAAGAATAATAAAAATAATAAATGACAACAATATGTGATCATGACAATAAAATGACAATAATAATACTAATAATGATAATACTAATAATAACAATAATAGTAGTAGTAGTAGCAGTAATAATAACAATAATAATTACAACATAAGCAATAGTAATAAAAATATAGCAATAACCAAAATAGTAAAAATAATATATCAGTAACACAATACCATTGATCAAAACTATAACACTAAAAATAATGATAACACTGCTAATGGTACTAATAATGCTTCTAATAGTAATGATAAAAATAATAGTAATAACTATGTGTGCAAAGATCCTCCGACCAACAGGTCTGCAAAAGCTTTTTTTTCTTTATCAAACTTAAACCAGAAGCTAAATGCCACGGCAGGAATAACAATAGGAAGTATTCTTTAAAAGCATTTTTTTAATTTAAAAAAAAAACTGAATGTGTTAAGACAGTAGCACAGCACAACTACGCATGGGGGCCTCCTTACGTTTGGCACTTGAGGGATGGAATAACATTTCCTGCTCAGCCTTCTCGATGATCGCTGGCTCCATCATATAGGCTTTGCGCACCGCTGTAGGGCCATAACCTTCCTCAGTGTAGTCAGCGTCATCCAGAAGTTTGGCAAGCTCTGTGAAAAGGAGCAGAGATACAGAATATGAAGTGAGGAGTACTCTATAAGTGTCACTGCAAGTAAATGGGAGAATAACTTCCCATATGGGCAATAAAGCTACATTCTTATTCTCTTTTTTTTTTTTCCAAGTTCTTAAGTAGGCGTGGGGAAACTACAGGCCACAGGCCAGATCTGGCTCATGAAAAATTTCAGTATATCCCGCAAGTCGACCCAGTAATTGATATAATAATGAATGTGGCTCACTATGAGTTGGTGAATTAATCAAATTAAAACAGTCCCTTTAGAAAATTTAAATCAGTAGCTTCCAGTGGGCTGGAAGCACTAGATCTAATAATACTAATATTTTATCTCATGAAATGCCTTTGAGTGACATATACTACAGTATCAATTTTGATAGTCTTTTTAGAGTTTGGATATTTTGACTGCTTTTACCCAGTTGTCTCCTGCTTTGGCGCGTGAGGTATTTGGAATGGCTTAACCTGGCCCATGACTTGGGACAGGTTTGAGTATGCCTACTTTAACCCTTTGAACTCTGACCTCTTGAGGCTACTGTGCCCCTCTGTCCGAGCTCCTGAGCGATTCACGCCTACATTACTCTCACATTTATATCATCATCAGAACCCCATTCCAAATCCCACTAAGGGTAGAAGATCTAGTCCTCATCGTTACCAGCACCTAATTCAGAAAGGTCTTCGATATAATCAATAATATACTTTGTAGCAAACACTCCGTGCGTGTTTTGTTCCAGACGAACCGGGTTGGAAATAAGGCCTCGCTCACTGGTGGACCAGTGGTTAGGCATACAGGCAATTTTAAGTGCCATTGGTGTTAGTTTTAGTATGGTTTTACGGCGCTCGTAACTGCATAAGGTTATATGAGCGCCAAGGGGTGGATGTCAACAGAGAAGTCCTTACAGGGAATCAGGCTTACTCTACTCAACTCTCTAGCTTCAACAGCATAAAGTCTACTTCGACTATCAAGGCACCCCGGAAATAGCGGGTCACAACAGTGTGACAAACATACAAAAGAAGTAGAGGAAAATGACGATAGTAAGGATTAGGAAAAAAAAAGCAGCAGTGCCCTGTTGCAGTTCAGGCACAGTTATGAGCATGACATTGATAAATCAGCTTATTTACAATTCTACTGTGCATAAGAACATGTTAATGTCCCCCCCCCCCTTCCCCTTTGGGAATGGCCTAAAGACACTTCAGTCAGTAGCACCATCCCGGGGGTTAAACGGTGGTAAGGGCTCAAAGAGTCAAAGTAAAATGCAACCATACGAAACAGAAAACACAAACAGTAACAGCTAGCCAGCCCCTTACACAACCCCCCCTTAAGGTTGTCACCATCAATACTGTTTGGAATATATGTGAAGAACCCTCACAGGACACTTGACTACTGAATCCCCCATCACAAAGACAAAATCTTAACTAGAATTACTCTATACTGCTAATCAACCACTTTTTTCCTTCTTAGTACAACAAATTAGAATAAACTTTTTCTGATTTACAACCCCAGCCTTATCTCAACCTGCATATATTTTCATTTGAGTGAAATGAAGGAAGAAATAAACACAAAGCTGATGGTGGAAGAGTGGAGAAATATCATGTCATTTACCTCCTTTGTCTTCTTCTTTTGCAGCTCTTTCCTCTTCCTGATAGAAACAAAAATTTAAAAACAATATCTAATAATACAGTCAATGCATTAGGGTAAAATTGGAACATAATTCACCAGGCAACCACGCCATCATCCATACTTACAAAACAGATGGGACAAAAGTTGTCGCACAACAATGTCATAGTGTTAAAAGTGGAGTTTTAAAAAGAGGACCAAAATGACTTACCTTTTTTTTTACTCATTCTCTGTCTAAAAGCACACACACCTTTTTACAGGGAGACATTGCCTCCATTCATGCTTTCAACATCAAACACTCACTACATTCTTTAAGTACATGTAAAATTGAAGTAAGAACATTCCATGGCAACAAAACAAAGACTGCCACTAAAGTTAACTATGGATGAATGACACTAAAGTTAACTATGGATGAATGACACTAAAGTTAACTATGGATGAAGAAAATAACTCCTGCAAAATAAATGTCACAATGGTTCCAAAGAAAAAGGCCAACAATTTTTTAAACACATTATCTTTCTCGTGGACTCAATATGTGACTTATTTTGTTAGGTCAAAAAGCAAAATGTTTAGGGAGAATGAAAAAAAACCTGTTTCAATTGTACCAGCATTATGCATCTATTCTTGTACGTTTTTTTCAACATTCAGAATCTGAATTTTGACAAACAATTTTCGAGCACATAAAATAGGAAACTGCAGTTTAATAAATTGTTCCAAATTCTGGACTTTTTGCACCTGAACAGCTGGCTGATGATATGTCTACGAAGTATGACAAACATATTGCTCAAGTCCTACTGCTATCAGACAAAGCAACAAGAGGCTTTAAAACGGCATCTGTGAGGCAACGTAAACTCTTCTCCTTGAAACTCAGAGGATGTAAGCTCGATTCAAAAGCTGACAAGATATTTCATTAAATGTCTTTGTCTTTCCAATGGGGTGCAGTATTACACACAGCGTAGGCTGACACTGACAGTCGACCATTTGAAAGATCTAAATTGCACCAAAAGAAGCATAAAACATTAACAAGGAAAAAAAAAACTGTTATAAAAAATTGGCTCTTACAGTCTCTGCTTCCTCTCCTTCCTCGCCTTCCTGGCTAGGACCAGGTTTGGGTTCTTCTTCTTCTTTTTCTTCTTCTTTCTTTTCTGCTTCCTTCTGTTCCTCTGGCTCAGGTTCAAAGACTCGAGTGAAGAAGTCAAATGCTTCATCTGCACTGGGCATGAACGCCATCTGAAACAATATATTGTGGAGTTGGAGAGAGAGAGAGAGAGAGAGAGAGAGAGAGAGAGAGAGAGAGAGAGAGAGAGAAAGAGAGAGAGAGAGAGGGGGGGGGAGAAGAGAGAATGAGAGAGAGAGAGAGAGAGAAAGAGAGAGAGAGAGAGAGAGAGAGAGAGAGAGAGAGAGACATTGACTTATTAACAACCACACTGGGCTGGTAACAAACAGAAGCTTACAACTAGCAGTACCAAAACTTATAAATGAACTGACTCACCAAAGGAGTTTTGAAAAGTCCCATGAATATTTCATTGGAGATGATAATAGTTATGAAAGTAACAACTTAAACTCAAATAGATAACACAGAACTTACAGCTTCTTGTTGCTTTGCTCTTTCAAGTCTCATTTTTCGCATTCTTTCCGTCCTCTCTTCTAGCTTTCTGACTTCCTCTTCATCCATCTGAGGAATTGACAGCAATAGATGGTTGATACAAGCGATGTAATGCAGAAAAAGTCAAATAAATCACATCAGAAAGAAGACTCTCAATATTGCTGAGGATTTGACTGTGTTGGGGAGAGGTCCCACATAGTTTAATTTAAATATAAAAGATAAAAGTGTCACGACGCAGTGGAATCAGGCGCTCGTCAAGTTTTGGACAAATGGAGTTATTTGTATCATCTTAAAGGCTATTCACTTGCCTTGCTTTCGATGAATAAAATATCATTTATCTTGAGTAGAAGTCAAGATATTTGCGATTGAAGGAGGTGGGGCCTCCTGGTTTCAGAAGTAAAATTAGAGAGAAAATGGCCACCAAAGTATGGTGATTTCCATAGCTTAAGAGTCCTTGAAAACTGCAAATTTACATTTTTTGTACCTTTAATCAATGAGCCAAAAAACAAAAAAAACAAAAAAAATTCCAGAATGGTAGAAAAATGCTGATTTCTCGGATTTCATTACTTTGACTAGCGCCTGTTTTCACCACGATGCATCACAAATGGTTTATCTACAACCACACTCAAACATTGAGTAGTGGCAGGAACGTCTCAAATTCTTCTATTGGAACTCATAAGCATTTAACACTGCAAACAAATTGACCATGTCCGAATTCAAAAGAATTATTTTGACTGAACAGGTAGATACGTACAAATCATATTTGTAAATCAGTCTTATCATTCTTATTTAGTTTTAGTCTTAGTAATAGTTTTACAGCACTTGCAACACATGAAGGGTGAGTACATTCATAACATATATCATCATCAATTATAAATGAATGTGGGGTTTTTTTTAGTTATCATAAGTCAGAAGGATGACACTCTCCTTATCATATCCTGCCTATTTACATTTTTCATGCTAAGCTAGAGTTTGAGTTTTAAAAACAAAACACACTACAAATCCCTTTGTTTCAACTAATTTCTAACAGCTTTTCACTTGTCAAGGTGTTCCAAGTAAAATTTCATTTAAATGGATTGGAACAGGTCAAAGCAAAAGCAATTCAGGTTTCATGACATATTCTTATTATCTGGTAAGTTTAGCGTTATATAAGCTGTTTGCTCAGAATGAGCAAGGGTAAATTGTTGTGGATAACCAAATATAAACTCACTTCCATTACAGTAACATGAGCCACAAGGCAGACATATGTTTCAGAGACAAGTTATGAACATGACTATGATAACCTTCAGAACAAACGATTCTTTTATCAAGATAACAGATAAAGTAGATCAAAAACATTTGAGCTTTTATTCATTTTTCGTCTGTTTTCTATGTGCAAAAATAAAATAATTCTTATCACTTCATTTAAAAGAACAGAAAAAGGACAGTTTGTTTTAGTAAGGTTTTACGGCGCTCGCAACTGCATAAAGTCTTATGAGCACCAAGGGGTGGATGTCATCAGAGAAGTACAAATTGGGAATCAGGCTTACTCTGCTCACCTCTCTAGCCTCAAAAGCACAAAGTCTGCTTCGACTATCAAGGCACCCCGGAAATAGCAGTTCACAAGAGAGTGACAAAGATACAAAAGAAGTAGAGGAAAAATTACAATAGTAAGGATGAGTAAAGAAAAAGCAGCAGATCCCCGTATGTTGTTTCGGCACGGTATGAGCACGGCATTGATAAACCAGCACAGAAAAAGGACAGCCATAAAAAAAAAATCCAGTTTACTGTAAGATATTGTGCTCTTGTGTGACAGTGATAAAACTCCAAACTACAACTAGAAGCAATGTGAGTGCACAGTCAAGTTTTTGTGATCATCTTTTTACAATGTACAGTGCTATCTGTCATGTCTTCATGTCCTCATGCCACCCTCCCCCTCCTCCTAAACAATTCTCTCCTTTCCAAAAGAAAAGGTTACTGAGGACTAAGGAATTCAAAATAAAGGGCACTCAAAATCAGCAAGCCAAGTATCTTTACTATTAACCTTCTCTGCATGCACTTTTTGAGTTGCCAATAGTTAGAGAATACTTAAGAGACCTCCAAGGCCCCAAAATAAAGGGCACTCAAAATCAGCATGGCAAGTAACTTTACTATTAACCTTCTCTGCACTCTTTGAGTTGCCAATTGCCAGAGAATACACAAGAGATCTCCACCTGATTATGACTTGCTGAATGGCAATGACTGAAGAGTCCAGATGAGTTCATATTTGTTCTGATTCGTGTCAACCCAATATGATCATCTGAATTCAAACATATCCGTTTTTCTGAGTCAATCAGACCTCACTTTTGGTAACCGCTATTTAGAAAGTGCCTCACAGACAAATGAAAGCTAAACTTTTAGGTCAACATTGAAAGGACTGCAGCTCAACCATTAACTCGAACTACCTCTTTTCCTTCATGCATCACTGTGTGTATGAAATATACTGCACTAAATCAGTCTACTCGAACTACCTCTTTTCGTTCACGCATCCATGTGCGTATGTCATAAACTGCACCAAATCAGTCTGGTTTACACAAATCAGAGAACTGCTTTAACAGGTTTGCATTAGCCAGTCTGTCTTCTCAAGCCGTCCAGTTCTCTTGATCAAACTACATTTGAACCTGCTATAACAACCAGAGTGCAAGATATTAACCAGTATAAAAAAAAGCACTTCATGCCCCTCCCCCCTCCTCCTGTGTTCTTTTTCATATTAAAATGACACTGTCCAAGAGGACCGCCTGTCCAAGATTACAACTTTTCTCCTCAACAATGGGTGGTCATCTTGAGCAGGTTCAACTGTAGTTAAAGAAGCACTACACAGCTTCCAACTTTTTACTCAAAAATTGATGGGCTCTATTTCTTTTTTTTTTTTAATTGGGGTGCCCTTCAACTGGCTGTATTCATCAGAGCATCAAAATAAAGGAAACCATCAGCTACAATTCTCAAACACAGTCATTTCTTTTTGGTCTGTCTCTGACCATAATCAGGAAGGAAAAAAAGCATTTCTAGTAGTGATTTCTACTGCATCACTCTCCCCTTCTTTTTTTTATCACAGTATATATGTGGAAGAAAAAAAAATTAAGGGAGTATTTGTCTTGATAGTGGGCCTACATGAAACTGCTACTTAATCAACAATCATGTGCTGTAGATAACTTGGTGCAAGAAATAATGGTATTTCAATTGATACATCCGCCACACGTGAATTCTGAAAACTCGCAAGGATTGAATAAAAATACCGTTAAAAGGTGTGCATAAACATGATGTCTGCCAGACTACAATGGTGCATAGGTACTGAGCAGACCACTCTCTGTTTTAGTAAGCGTTGTGGTGGAACTTGCAACACAATAGGACCATATAAGACAAGAGGTTTGACAAGAAAGTAACAAACACAAAAAAGGAGGGAAGACAAGGATGATACATGTTTTATAGGAAAGAAGGAGAAAACCACACCAGAGCACCCACCAACCACCTGCTGACCACTCTTCTCCCCAGCAATCACATTTACACAAAAGAGAAGAGTAAACAAACTCATAAATCAACACACACACACACACACACACGCACATGTAAACATGAATTGCAGTGAATTCTAGGGTGACTTTTGTTTCAGGCCTTATAAACTTGTTACCTCTCTTTCATGCTGAAAGTACACAAAAACAGAGCCATAAAGTTCTGGCATGACTGAAAATATGAAACAATAGACTGGGAACAAGAAAAGAGTAGAATACGTTTGATCTCTCAGGGACATGTATGTATCTGCAAGTAAATTTCTAGAAATAAAGAGCAGGAGACAAAGTGTTGGGTACTAATCAACGACTGGTGTGACTTATTCGAGTATTAAAAGGTAAGCATGAAATACACATCTGCCATCTGCCAACCTCTTTAAAAAAAAACCAAAAAAGAGTTTTACAGAACACCCAAAAACAAAAATTGCTTGCTGAGAAAAATAGAATCAGTTGGAACACCACCACCATGTGACAGGCCAAAGCAGATTCAGATCCCATAATGAACTGACAGTTGTTAAAAAAAAAGGAAAAAGCGATGACCATGTACAAAATTGACTGTAGCAAACACCTTCCCTCACCCCCCCCCCCCCCCCCCCCCTCTGTAAGAACAAAACAAAACCAGAACTTTCACAAACAGAAACAAGAAAAGGAACTTGAAAATTATCCACTTGTTATGTTTTTAAAAAAATAATGATGACCCCACCAGGTGTATGGAGAAATGAAATTTATATCTATGGGTGGCACAAAACATCAACCATACAAAAGCAGACTACAACCTGATTTATAACTGACAAACATCCAAAATGAAAGAATAACCCTGCAAAAATTGATGCGGCTCACCATGTCCTCAAATCTTGTCTCCTTCTTGCCCTTCAGAGTCCTCTTCCTCTCATCTCGCTCTTGTTTCTCAATTTCTGTCTCCGCCTCTTCCTATTGCAAAATAAAAACCAGTCAATCAAAACTGATCTTAAAACAATTTGTTCTAAAATACTACAGGTATGTCAAAAACAGTTTCAAGACAGATCGCTAAAATCATACCAGTTACGATAGACAATTTCAATTCTGTATAGTTATGAAGGATCAGTACTGAGCTCCCAGCCCTAACAGCTACTTTCTGTCTGTCACTTCATCTTACCTCCTTCCTGTCTCTGTCTTTCCACTTTTGTATTTCCCATGTAAAATGTCCCAAAGAGCAGCGTAGAATTCCTTCTCAGAACATACCCACAAAAGAATGTGTTAAGAACAAATTAGGAATCATTTATCTTACTTTTAAAAAATTATCCACAAACAGTTATCATTGACAGGATTATATCTTAAAATAAACTAAAAAGGACTTACATTTGAAAAAGTCCCATAATGTACAGCCTTAGCATGTCATTTGTAAAACTTACTTTTGCTTTGGCCAATCGACTTTTCATTCTTTCCCTGATAGTAGATCTCCGTCTGTCTGTAGGAGGCCTTTCCTCTTCAACATCTTCTTCTTCTGGAAAATAATGACACAAATACACCCCATCACTGTCACATAAAAACTCGTCAACATCTACAGCACAGCAGCCCTAAAGCACTATCTTTTTAATTCTTTTTCCATCCTCAGTTTAATAACAACATATGACTCATACTGCAAAAAAGGATTGTTGCTTCAGAAGTAAAAAGAAAATCAAGCCTAACAAGAGATGAAAAAAGAGAAGGCTGTCATGTGTTTTAGTTTTGCTGTTTGAATTACATGAATACATGGTCATAGTTCAGTGCACTAACTGTAATGTAACCAAGCATGGCAAATTGTTTGCAAAGTGGTGCAACAGCATAACAAACTCAATTCAACAATGAGAAAAAACACACCAAACACATCAAACGCATTTTAAAAATTGTTGCTAATAAGCTTCATCAATGCAAAAGTAAACCACGAAAAACAAGGCATGGCCCAATTCTTGTCACAAACACAGTGACAGTGTACACAAACTGAGGGAAAAATCTTTTTTCCTTTGACTCGAAATAAAAACAAATTCAATATTCTCCATACTTCCACTCAACAATTTTTGATGCAGCTGGGAAAATCTGTGACCAATGTTGGAATATTTTCCACCTGATTGAAAAAAAAAATTATAGGAAAAAAGGTAATTTCCCTTAGATAAACCAACCACATCAGAATGAGATCTTATTCAAGTTCAAGGCAATTGTGCTTCATTACCCAATTGGAGTTTGCTCCCAGACCTCTTTTCACAGCCTGTGCATTTCATCACCAATTTCCTATGACTTTTTCAAATAATACTCCACAGATAGTGTTTCTCACCCATATCTAGGAAAGTATTGAGAATGTTTCTTTTTTTTTCATGCTTTACCATTTCTGGAATGGTAATGCTGCAAACACTTAGTTCACTTGAAACTTTTCTCTCTCATTACCAACTCCCCATTGACAAACACTTATAGAAAGAACTATCCAGCTCCACACATGAAATCTGTTTCATAAGGTCAACCATGTTGCAGAAATCTGTATGCTTAACGAATTTTTTAAACGTGTCATTTTTGTGAACCTCCAAAAATCCTTTTTTTTCCTCCATAGGTACTTCTCCTGTCCAGCTTCTGGACTCAGAAACAATTCACTTTGTTATGACTCTCTTAGCCACTTGTCACAGATATTGAAATAATATAAATAGCAGACAGGTGTCAGCTTTGAAACAATGTACCAAGAGGAAGATTTTCCCGAGTCAAATACTACGGAAAAAACAAAAGTGACAAAATACATTTCCTGAAAAGGAGAAGAAATGAAAAGAAGACAGGGAAGTACTTTTCAAAAGATTGATGTCAACAAACACTGACAAAATAGAGATACTGACAGTAAGCAAAAAGAAATTCCTAACACACTGAAACAAACATGAAAAATAGAACAAAATAAGACTTAGCAACAAGTAAGCAGGTGGTTGGAGGGTGAAACTGATGAGTCTTACTTCTTCTCATTCCTACAGTTGTTTCTATATGTATGTATTATTTTTTCATGTACTTAACGGCAATTATTGTGAAATTATGCTTCTCTCCTCTCAAACAAACAAACTTATTAAGTCAACCAACCCATTGTTTGACACACATGGGCATCGTAAAACATTTACAACAAGTTCACAGATTTACAACACTTTTCATGTACTCACTGCTCACAGTACGCTCCAGTGCTGTCGGGGGCTCCTCTTCCTCCTTTGAGGGTTCTGGCGTCTTCGGAGGAGACAACGGTGCTGGAGGTGAGGCAGCCACTTCATCTTCCACTTTTTCTTCCATCTCTCTCTCTTCTCCTGGCGGCGACTCCACAATGCCCTCCTCCTCCCTAACCACTGGGGCTTCAGCAGCTGCCGCGCCTGTAATATGAATTGGGAGACAGCACATTAAAAAGAATACTAATGACAATTTATATATAGTGCCCATCCTTGTATATGCAGTACACTGACAGAATTATCACTCAACCAACAAACCATAGGACAGAAAACATGTGCGCACACACACACACACACACACACACACATTCTCACATACAAAATTTACTGGCAAAGGAAAGTGTTGAAAATGTGTTTCTTTGAACTCTTCTTAAATATTGTCACCTCTACAAAGTTAATTGATCATGGGACACAATTTGGTTATCAATAAACAATGACAAGAAGCATGGATATTTAGTTTGCCTCCAACAACACCAATTGAAATAGAAGATTTACCCACATTTCCTATTACAACTTAAGTGAAAAAGTAAATGTTTGAATTTTTGAGTTTCATAAGAATCAGTCAAAAACACATGAAGGACATTAACTTGTTCACTTCATAGTTTACGCCAAAAGATACAGCAGTGATGCACTTTTATTTGACAGGATGAAAGGAAATATCTAAAATAGTGGCACGGATTTCATCAAATGATTTAGAAAAGACATGTGAAATTCAAATTGCAGATTATGCCTCGGAAGTTATGAGGAAAGTGGGAGCTAAGATATTGGTTTCAGAGAGAGAAAGCATCTACAGTGTGGTCAAAGATTTGTGGCGCAACTTATTGTTAAATATTTCCTAAACTATTGAACATAAACTTTCCAGCTTTTGCTCAATGACTTGTATCAATTTGTCTTAACATATTAACATTTTGATTAACACCTGTTAACTGTATTTAAGAAAATTCCTTAAAAAATACTAATAAAAAATTCCAGTGGGTGGGTTCTACAGATTTTTAAAGGTTTATAGATGGGGTAATATTGCCGTTAAAAGCAAGTCCGTAATTTTTTTTTCTAATTGCAACATTAAGCTTACTGAACGCATGATTTGAGAACCTTTAGTGATAAAGGATGTTCACTATTAAATTAATTTCTTGTAACAAGTTTTGCCACAAAAAAGTGTCTTTGGTAAGCTATGATGTAGGTCATATGAGTATGCAAAATGTGTGTGAGAATCGGGAAGTGCTGTGAATAATCCCATTTTTCATGTCACAGAGACTTGTAGTATTTTATATAAATTTATGAAGAAAAGTTTATAAAATCTAGCCTCAGTTGTTGGAAAATATGACTAAGCTCAAACAAATTGATATAAACTGCTGGGCAAAGTATGGGCGACACTGACTCACCAGTTAAAGAGATATATTTGAAGATAAGTTGCACCACAAATTTTTTACTGCACTCTAGACCTCCTCTGATGAGATGAGTCTAGGGAATGAACCATGTGGTACACATAGGTCAGTCTCGGCGTTACCACAAAACTCCTGAAATAATTAAACACAACGCTAACAAGAATTCTGTTGCTTTACAAAGTGTTCACCTGCAGCAGCCATGGCCTCGGCCAGTTCGTCTTCATGCTCCGTCTCTTCCACTTTTTTCTTGCTGTCAAGTTTCACTGTTTTCAGTTCCCCAGTCACATCGTCTTTCGGGGACACCAGCTTAGACAACTGGAATTATAAGTCCCACTGAGAGTTACCTTTAGTTTTAGTAAGACTTTTAAGGTCATATAACTGCTGGAGATTAAAAATATTACTAGACAGTAACATTTGAATAAAAGGAGGACAGATAAGGACAATAGATGTTTGATAAGGAAGAAGGTGCAAACCACACCAGAGCACCCACCAAC